GAGAAATAGTTGGCAAAGTCATTAAGGAAGAAATCCCTGGATCACTTTAAATGATCAGCCATCATGATCTGGGTTTTCCCTCTGCCCTGTTTATCTGAACTGACATTTACATGTGACATTTAAATATACAGGAACATTAGGAAACAATCAAGACAGTGTGGCCTACAGATGAAAAGACAGCATTTGGAGGAAAACAAATATCTTCACCAAACAGCAATTCTGTTGTTTACCTGGACTATGCTTCCCATGTCTGTAGTGATTTGTGCTTTATCCATGTTTTATTTACATTTGGATAACTTAAAACAATTAAACTACCTTCTAATTTCAATTTTCTCCAGGAAAGATTGTTCTTCAATAGCTAAATGATTGTGAACGTCATTTAGAACTGATAATTTCATTCACCCTGTTGTTTTAGAATTGTACTAGATTTGAATTTGGGGAAATAGATGGCAGAAATCAGATAACACTACTGTGCCACTTTAAACCCCATCTGACAAGAACGTCTTTTCCTTGGTACCAGGTATTACCTCAGTTAATAGTGCTGACTGTTCTTCCAGAGAACCAGGGTTCGATTCCCAGTACCCACACAGTGGCTCACAATCGTCTGTAACTCCAATTCCAGGGGATCCACGTAGTGTTCCGGTCTCCTTAAGCACTAGGTATGCAAGTGGTACACAGACATACATTCAGGAGAAATATTCATACACACAAAATAAAAATAAATTGCTGGGTGATGGTGGCACACAACTTTTTTTTTTTTTTTTTGCAATCAACAAGAGCATTTAATTCTCAAGAATAAAAAGTTCCAGCATGCTGGGACTGCACATCTGACACAAAGGCAAAATGGTGACTGCAAGAGAAGCTCACAGGCTCCTTTTATACAAAGCTAAAGGAATTCTAAAAGCAGTTAGGTAATCCTGACTATGACTGGCTTAAGAAGTGTATTATGTTAGTACACTTCTAATAGGCTAGATGTAGTTAGAGTTTTTGGTGGCACACAACTTTAATCCCAACATTCGGGAGGCAGAAGCAAGCAGATCTCTGTGAGTTTGAGGCCAGCCTGGTCTACAGAGAGAGCCCCAGGACAGCCAGGGCTACACAGAGAAACCCTGTATCCAAAACCAAAAAAAATAAATTAATAAATAAACAAATATCTTTTTAAAAAGGAATCATAATTGAGAGAAATCAGGATTCGATAAGTTTTGGTGGGTGTAGCCAAATCTCATTTTTATTTTATATTTAGAAAGGGAAGCAGGACCCCAGAAAGTTACTTTGTAAGGTTGTCCGTTTACTTTTTATTGACAAAATGTAAATATTGTTTAATTTTTCTTAATCCTAGTCACTCATAACCTAGCACACCTTAAATACTCACTAAAATGTAAATAAACCTTTATCTACTTGGTGAATGTTTGAGGGTGGGAGCATATGGAGAGGTCAAAGGGCAGATTGCAAGACTTGGTTTTCTCTTTCCACTGTGTGGGTCCCTAGATTGAACTCAGGTCGGCAACCAGTACCTTTACCCACTGAGCCATCTCTCAAGCCCTCGAATACCATTTAGTCAAGAAACATAGCTATTTATTTATTTATTGGGACAGGGTCTCACTGTGAGACTGCCCGGCCTGGAACTTCCTAGACTTCCACACCTGAGTCCTGTTAAAAGCAGCTGTAAATCCCACCAGTCAAGGATAAAACCATCACCACAATTTTGAGCCAAATTTGAAGCAAGCTTTACTTAAATACTGACCAGGAGGATGGCCTCTGGCCAGGACCATCCTGGGCTTCCTGGGAAATGGTCATGAGTCACATTTTGTAGGGGTTTAAAAGAGGCAAACCCACAATTCACTGCATTTCCCATCAGGTCCAATCAAGAGCAAGCATACATCCTCATGTATTTCCTGCCTATGTACCTCCACTTACATCCAATCAGGGGCAAGTTTACATCCTGACGTATTTCTTGCCTGTGTACCTCCACCTATCTCCAATCAAGGGCAAGTTTACATCCTGATGTATTTCCTGCCTGTGTGCCTCCTGCCTACATACCTCTTGCCTACATGGTGATCAAGCACGTCCAGAGCAGCTGGGTCAAATAAACTTGTTTAGGAGCGTGAAAACATGTGGCTTGCCCAAGCACAGATAGTTCCTGAAATGCTGGAGGCTGTTATTTATGGGAGATAACAAGCCATATGTTTTCACTCTCCTAAACAAGTTTGTTTGACCCAACTACACTGGAAGTGCTTGATCACCACGTAGGCAGGAGGTAGGTAGGCAGGAGGTAGGTAGGCAGGAGGTACACGTGCACTGGTGTTTTGCCTGCGTGTATGAAGGTGTGGGACCCTGGGAACTAAAGTTACAGACAGTTGTGAGCTGCCATGTGGGTGCTGGGACTTGAACCCAGGTCCTCTGGAAGAGCAGCCAGTGCTGTTGTTAACTGCAGAGCTATCTCTCCAGCTCCTGCATGCATACCTCTTAAATTAGTCAGTCTGAGAATTTTAATTTTAGTGTGCAATAAAATATGAAACAAAGTGGCTTTATGTTTTTCTATTCTGTTATTTTCATGAATTTCAAGGGCAGAGTGAGTTTTGCCCCATGCTGTTTTAGACTAAAAATGATACATAAAAAACAATTATCTTGAACACATATAACGCAATTACATTAACTCAGAGTGTGCTTGCATTTCAGTTAAAACAAAAACGTGAACTTTACATCTCTGTATGTTTTTGATGTAAGAAAGACCCAGCAAAAGTACGAAGATTAAATGAAGCTTGTTGTGCAGATTTAGGTTACTACATTTCCCTGTTTAAGAGCTAATCAGGGGCCTGGAGAAATGGCTCAGTGGTGAAGAGAACTTGATGCTCCTTCATAATCCCGGCATCCTATCCTGTAGCTCACCAATACCTGTAACTTCGGCTCAGAGGGATCTGATGCCCTCTTCTGGCATCTGTGGGCACCTGCACACACACTCCCATGCACACACATACAAATAATTAATAAAAATAAATATTTCAAAAAACACTCATCAGCAGAGGCAGATGCCCTTACAAATGGAAGCTTCAAAATATATGAAATATTCATATAGGATCTCTCCTCCCTTTAGATTTTGTTCTAAAACAGACCACAATGATCTTTTCCTCTGATACAGGATTTTGTTCTGCTTAGAGATAAAGATGGAAGAGGGAGGGGCAAGGTCAGACAGGGAAGATGATGGGAAGGGATTGAGAACACGTATAGTCTGGAATTTATCTCTAGTTTTGACGCAACCTCTAGAATTTTCTTATTAATTTTTAACATCTCCTTTTAATTTAGAGATGGTTTCTAAAACACTATTTTTTCATAAATTAGCAAGTTCATCCTTTATTTTCTTGAGCTGCTTTAAAACTCCAACTACAGTAGGCTGCCCAGTCTTGAGTTTTATTTCCACTGCCTGGAACTGGGTTGGCATGAATTTGTTTTTTTTTAACTAAATGTTCCCCTGCTGAGAGGGACATGTAACGCTAAACTATCTCTGTCCATTTTTCTAGATACTTGCGAGTTGAATGAACACAATCACCAAAGATAAAACCAGCTGGAGTAGCAAATGGCCGTTTCCCCCAAACATCTCCTTTCTTCCTTGCAGCTCTGTTTTTCATGTTCTTCTGAACATCGCAGGCTTCTGTATGCTAGGTAGAAGATGTGTATTCCAGAGTAGCTTTATGTGCTGTATCCCTGTGTCCTCACACCCGCCATGTCTCAGGTTTGTCCTGCACACTGACAGGCATGGGGGAGGGTGATACTCAAGACCCTGGGTCATCAACCTGTATGTGTGTGTCTTCCCAGCTGAGCCAGTAAGGTTCCTTCCCACCTAAGAATGAGGTTTATTTCATTGGAACCCTAGATTATGCATTCTGGGGTGTTTTCCTTGACAGCTGCATACTTCAGGGCTGGAGAAGTCAAGTACCTCTAATCTTTGACATCACCATTATAATCAGGGGAGTGTATTTGCTGCTTTCCTGTTTTGATGAAACACCATGGCCATGAGCAACTTAAGGAAGAACCTGTTTTGGCTTATGATTCCAGAGAGCTAGATGTCTTAATGGTAGGGAAGGCCATTAAGCATTGAAAACACTCCCTGGTCATAATGATGTTATCAAAGATAAAAGGCAAATTATTCCCTCCAGCCCAGCACTATGCAACTGTCAGGGAAAACACCCCAGAATGCATGGTTTAGGGATCTAGTGAAATAAGCCTTATTTCTAGGTTGGAAGGAACTCGGATGGTTCAGCTGGGAACACACACATAGAGGTAGATCAGCCAGTGGTATAGTAACAGAATAGAGGAAAGGCCTAAATTCAGAGCCTCTTCAAATACATTGGTGGAGGACATCAGGTAGGCAGGGAAACCTCTGCTGTAGACCTCAGATATTAGCTGATGACATGCTTAGTCAGTGGAAGTTAGTGGTCTGTTAGAACATTCCAAAAGGATAGTCAAAAGAGCGTTAGGTCAGACACAGAGTTGGGTAATGAATGGATTAAGGTAGCTAAAGACAGCCCAAGATAATTAGGTTCTGGGCCTGCCACATTACAACTCTCCACAATCACAGAAGTTCTGGTCAGCCAATCAACCTTGGTCTGGGAACGTCATTTCACAACATAGTAAGTACCAGACAAAACAAACAATTGTTTTAAAATTCACCCAAAGCAAAAATGACAAGGAACCACAGTAGCTTCATGCAAAGCGTTGCCCGGGATGGTGGGATTTTGTTTTAGAGTTAAGGTGAACAAAATTACTCCTGAAAGACACGGTCACCTCTGAGGTTCAGTGCTCAAAGTGTCACGTGGTCAGCTCTGTGCTGCCTGTGGCCAGACACATAGTGCATTTTCTTAGAGTGATTGATGGGGGAAGGCCCAGCCCATTTTGGGTGGGGCCACCTCTAGGCTGGTGGTCTGGAGTGCCATAAGAAAGCAGGCTGAACAAGCCATGTGGAGCAAGCCAGTAAGCAGCACCCCTCCTTGGCTTCTCTTCAGCTCCTGCCTCCAGGTTCCTGCCTTGAGTTCCTGCTCCGACTTCCCTGGATGATGGACCACAAGCTGCAAGATGATGTAAATTCTTCCTTCCCAGTTTGGCTTTGGTCATGATGGTGTTTTATCACAGCAACAGAAGCCCTAAGACAAGCCTTCCAGGAGCACAAAAAGACCGAGGTCAGTAATGAGGGATGCCTGTGCTCTCCAAAGCATGTATTTCCTGAGAAGTGAGATCCAGAACTAAAGACTACAGCTCCTGCCCTCAGGCGCCAGACAGGGAAGGGCTTCATCCTGGGCGTGGTTCCTGGAGGAGCCTGGGTGTGACTCCCTGAGGGCAGGCTGGAGGAGGCTTTGTGCTGTCTTGACCTGGTTATTTACTTTCCCTTTTTGCTCTCTCTCTAACCTGTACTCCCCCCATCCCCCAGCCTGCATGGCAGGCAGAATAAGCCTGTGTGTATGGGGGGCGCGGGGATCACAAAGTCAGAATGAGTAGACTTAACGACCCTTGTCACCGCCACAGATGGACCTTTTCCTCAGTCTCTGTTTATCATATGTAAAAGGGTAGCAATGTGAGCAGATACTTAGAGTACCTGTGATGTACTATGATGGCTAATCAAAAGAGTGCACATCAAACTCAGACCACCACACCTGGATTTAAATTTTTTTAATGTCTATTTATTTATTTATCTATTTATTTATTTATTTCTTCATTCATGGGGTGGTGGTCAGAGGACAGCTTGCAAAGTCGATTCTCTCACCACGTAGGTTCTAGGTATCCAACCCTGGTCGCCAGGTTTAATGTCACATACTTTCTTCATCTTGCTGGGCCCCCAAATGTCTTTTAGTAGTATCTATTAATTACATATAATAACTGTTTTATTACGACCTTTTCATACATGTACTCAATGTACTTTGATTCTATTCACCCCTTGTCAAGCTGTCTTGTGCCCCGCCCTCTCTGATCAACGCCCCCCCCCTCCACTTTCCTTCTCCCAGTGACCTGCCTTCCTTTTTTCTGTTTCGAATTCATTTAACAAATACTTATCAAGGGATGGCTCTGTTGCACACATATAATTCCAGGTGCTGGGCGTACAGCTGAAAACAAATCAACACAAATCATGGGTTTATGTTCTCAGGAGCGTGCTTCCTAGGAGGAAGGAGGCTGTGAGAGAGAGGATGTCAGGCCTCTCCTCCACTGCACCATACTCCCCTGCCTGCATTCCGATGTTGGATCTCTTCCTGCTCCTGCTGCGGCTTGCCTGTATCTAACTCCTTGGGCCACCTTCTTGACGGAAAGATTTGTCCTTCTGGTTGATTGGTGAATACCCTGGGTGGCTCCAGACAGGATGTAAACAGCTGGATCCCTCCCTAGTGGGTGCTGTATGCTTTTCCTAGGTGCCTTTGGCCTTCTCCAAGCTGGTTGCATTTCCTGCCCGGTCCTCTCAGAGTCCCTTCCTCTGGTGCAAACCACAGGTCCCAATCTAACATCACACTGATGATAATCAGTGTGCTGCTGATGCCCTCTTCCAGATCATTAATGAAGATGTTGAATGAAAGTGCATCCCATCCCGTGACACACCACTAGAGACCTCCCCACAGCTCCGCACTGCCCTTTGCTGTTTCATTCCCCTTTGTTTACCTGGCCAGCTCAGCCTCTTGCTTTTGCAACAGGCAGAAATCTTGGTATTTCTGCTGCTGCAGAGCCTCGCTTAAGGGCGGGGACTTGAAAGCCTGGCAGATTGTAAATGCGTCCTTTTGAGCCCAAATTAAATATGGATTATGAATAGAGCATTGTCAGTAAAAACTCCCCTGCTCTCCCTCCTCTCAGATGCCTTTGTTTTCTCCTGACTTTCCCAGCTGTTCTGCCTTTCTGGGAGCAGAGAAGGTTGGATGTTTGTGTACTGGGTGCAGGGGTGTTGTTTGGATGAGTTCAGTTGTAACTGAGGTTCTTCTCTCGCGTGTGAAAGCCCAGGTGAATGGATTGGGTAGCAGCCCAGCCTTCCTGTCTTCCCTGAATCCAGACCCTTTTCAATATAACCTCAGTGTCTTCCACTTGGACTCTGGTCCAGCTATGTGACTTTCTTTGTTGAATGGCATTAGAGAAGACATAATGTAAGCCTACGCTTGGGGACAATCTCTCGTGTCCCTGCTTGTGTGCATGTGCCTCAACCACTTCCATGAGAATATGCCTGGGACAGCTTGCCTTGAAGATGGACATACAGAGCACAGCCCTGTCACTCCAGGTGTCTGGTCAGGACCATTCTGAGTCTTCTGACAAGGGGATGACGTCCAGATACGAACCAGACCAGTCCATAGCAGCAGAACCTCCAAGCCAACCACCAAATGCAGGGGCAGTTAAGTATTACAGAAGGTCTTACTTAGCCAGCCCAGCAGTGGCGACACACACCTTTAATCTCAGTACTCTGGAGGCAGAGGCAGGTGGATCTCTGTGTGTTTGGAGGCCAGCCTGATCTACAGAGCAAGTTCCAGGACAGCCAGGACTACACAGAGAGACCCTGTCTCAAAAGACAAAAACAAGCCAACAAGACCACAAAAACAAAACAGAAAGTCCTGTTTGTTACACAGCCTTAGTTTGTGGACTAGCACATATCTGGAGTCTGGGGGACTAAGAATTCATTGGTTTTGCAAAGGTTCACATACAGTGAGTTCCTGACACACTGTGTTATAAAAAAGCAAAGAGGGCTGGAGGGGTAGGTAGCACAGTGGGAGGGTGTTAGTTTTATGTGGCTGCGCAATGTTATTCATTAAGCTGAGCTGTTGACCGTGAGAGAAAAGCCTCGAGGCATGAGAAAACCCACTACAAGAGTTTATTAGGAGAAGGAACAGAGGGGAATGTGCTTTAGGCCTATGGAAGGTTGTGCATGGAGAGAGAGGAAGGAGGAGAAGAAAGCAGGGAGGAGTCTGTGACCTGCTTTTTATGGATTCCCCACTCACATGCTCGTATGGGCTCACAAAGCTACGCCATGCATGCGCATAGATTGCGTGGTCATACTGCACGCAAACTACACGATCACGCAGCACATGGATTATGTAGGATATAAGGCCCTGGGATGACTCATCATTTTGCCAGCACATGCACAGTCAAGAAGCAACAGAGGGTTCTTGCTTAGCACATAGGAGGCTTTGAGTTAAATCTGTTAGCTGTACATGAACTCGCGCGCGCGCACACACACACAGGAGAAAATGTCTTCTAAGTAGAGATTCAGAAATCTAAAAGTGGGAAAACAATCCCCACTTCAGATTGGTTAAAAAATGTAGCTCAGTGATATAGTATGTGCTTAGTATGTGTGAGCACCATCTCTAGTAACACACACAGAGAAAGGGGTTGGGGGGGTGATTTTTGAAAATAGAAGCTTGTTACTAGAATCTGGCTTCAGGCTTTAAAAGCCAAAAGAATAAGCTGGGTACAGTGGCACAGGCCTTTAATGCCAGCACTCAAGATGCAGAGAGAGGCAGGTGAATATCAGCGAGTTGGGAGCCAGCCTGGTCTATATAGTGAATTCCAGAGTTCTAAAATAGCCAGGGCTATGTAGTAAGACCCTATCTTAAAAAAAAAAAAAAAAAGAAGAAAGAGTATGTGTTTTCTGTTTTCTGCTTCAAGATTGTTGAAGCATTTACTGAGTATCTTCTGTGTGTAGAATCCTTAAGAATTCTGACCAGTGCAGCAAGCTGTAAGGGTCAGGGTGAGAAGGGCCTCCACAGAGAACAGTAGAATGTATGCTGCACACACAAACACCTTTTCCCAATGACAGCAGCAAAGAGAAAGGAAGACTGCTCTAATTCGCTGGGATAAACACTGTATACAATAGCAATTTGGGGAAGAAAGGGTTCATTTCATCATTTCATCTTACACTTCCAGGTCACCAACCATCACTGAGGGAAGTCAAGGTAGGAACCTGGAGGCAGGAACTAAAGCAGAGACCAAGGAGGAGTGCCGCTTACTGCCTAGTTCCTTCTTGTGCGTGCTCAGCAGGCTTTCCTATATAGTGCCTGCTTCTGCCTCGGGATAATGCTGCCTATAGTGTATGGGGCCTTCCTACGCCAACTAGCAATTAAGAAAATGCTCCACGAACATGCTCATAAAGCCAACCTGATCTAGGCAGTTCCTCCATGGAGATTCCCTCTTCCCAGGTGACCCTAGTTTGTGTCAAGGTGGCAATCAACACCACCCAGAACATAGCCATTGAGCTCCCTTGTTCCATGCCTAGGCAACCGTTCCCTGCATTCTTTCTAACCATGCATCTCCCTAGATGGCTCTGCTTGCAACTGAAAAATGCTCATCTGGTTTGGGCCAACACAGTAGCGTGTGGCCTTACTATGAGGACAAAGCCTGGAAAGGACTGTTGATGCTCTTTAACTGGAGTTGAAGCACGAGCTTCTGCAGTGCAGAGGAAGCTGCCACTAATTGCTCCCTGGGGCTTCTCTTAGCCCCCTCCCCTAGGCTTCCTCTTCCTGGCTGACACCCACCCCAAGGACCGCATTGCTCAAAGTGTGGCTCACCTGGGGACTTGTTAGATTTGCAAGCTCTGGGACCCCCACCCCACATGGATTGCTCTGAAGTTGACACTTTTTCCCAGGACCCCAGAGAATTCAGACACACACTCAGCTTCCCCAAGAACTGATCTTCAGGTGCTCAAAGCTCTTACAGAGGGAAAGTCACTTATGCAGGGGAGAGTAGCCTCCTTCAGGGGCTGAGCTCCAGAGAGCTAAGCATATCTGAGGGAATCTTTAAATTCCCAGGGCCCAGTACTGTGCCTGGGTGTAGGAGGAACTCAAAATAAAGATTGTCAAATGGCACAAGCAAATGCCAGTGAACAGCCAGGCCCACCTGGGTCACTGTCCTAGCTAGAGAGACCTTAGTTCTTCCCAAGAGTCCCTGCAGCAGAGATTACCTTGAACATGTAAATTAAGAGAGGCAAACCTTGCCAGGGGCTCTGCCCAGCTCGGCACATTCCAGAGCTTCCGGTTTGCACACTGATGTCAAGCTCCACATGAAATGCATCTGAATAAGCAACTTCGCTCTGCATCCTGCATAAATTTGAATGTCTATGTTGGAGCCAAATTAAGGCTTTACTCAGAAATGTGCTGAGCCCTTAGTGGTGGCTTCCTGAAGTCCCTAGTAGGTGGGAAGGGTGGGAGTGGGGGATATGGGACTAGGAGGAACAAGGTAAGAAAATAGAGAGTGACCCTGAGCAGAGAGGGATCCAGAAGAAGAAAGGGGAAAAGGACTGGTGCTTCTGAGATCTGCCTTCTGCTTTCTGCTTTCTGGTGGGACCTGAAGTTTTTCTTCCATCTCTCGGTATCATTGATATTAAATAGTCAGGCTTCCGAGACCTGCATTGACTTGAGTGATATACCACAGCCAAGGGTGGCTGCTTCCCAACACTTCCTCTTGCCCAGTTTGGGTAAAGAATGCTCACACCTTCCATGACTACTGGGGTTTTACAAATGATGCATTTTGCTGCACACTTCAGGCCTTTGAACCACCCTGGATACTGAATGCTGTGTTGAAATGGTAGTCAGGGATAAAAGGGAAGTTGGGAGGGGTAGGATTCTGACCTTCCATAAACCACTAATTTCACTGTAGTGAGTAGAGACCAACTCTTGGAATTTCAGGGACCTGTCTTGAAGTACGGCAGGAGACCATCAGTGTCAATCACAGGGAAGAATAGGATGATGGAGCAGTGGGAAGATGTTCTTACTGTTCACCAAGCCCGTGACAACACGGCCAGCATGGTCAAGGATGTTTTTAGAAGAATCATTTTAAATTTATTTGTGGATACATTCATACGTGTATATAATGCATTTTTTAAAAATCATACTCACTCCCAATTCCCTTCTCTTACACTCTTCCCACTCCCTCGGGTCCCCTTCTTTCCAGTGAGTCCTCTTTCTACCTTCAAGTCTGACGACACCCCCTGAAGAAAAATAACTTCCTCTCCCTTAATTGCCAGTAGTTCCTCAAGCAAAGGGTAGAACCTCATGTGCCCTCTAACATCCTGCTGGAAGTGCGGATGGATGGAGCCTATGCAAGTTTTATGCAGGTAATCATGGCTGCCGTGGGTTTATGAGTGCAATGGCCATGCCATGTCCAGAAGATGGCAGTTCACATCATTCCTCATCTCTGGATTTCAGGGTCTCATGTGGTCCAGGCTGGCATGGCACTCACTATGTAATTCAGGCTGGCTTCAAACTCCTGATTCTCTGCCTCAGCTTCCTGAGTGCTGAACCCATGCTCATTACTATCCCCAGCTTTCAAAGTCATTTTAAATAGGTGGATCAGTGACTTTCAATCACTTCTTTGGACACAGATGTAAACTGGCCCAGCTTAGATGTGAGCAGAAGCTAGAGAAAAAAACGAGAGCAGATTAGCTGGGAGCAGGGGGCCTCAGAGGCCCATTCTGACCTAAAAGGTCTCTACTGCAAGGGAGACACCCAAAAGCATACCTCAGTGCTGTGTGGAGCTCAGATGAGAACAGCAGCAGGTATGGCTCCCACTGGCAGAGAAAGTGGGCCCAGACACTTGTGGGGATCATGGACGGGTGACAATTCTGACTTGGGAGAATCTGTGTAAGTGGAGATATTTTAGTTGGAATTCTTCAACCTTTCCGACTCTCTTCTTTCCT